AAATGTAAGCCACTTCCTCACCAGCTAGATTAAGTACTAGTGCAGTTTTCCTTTCATCACTGGTAATGTCTGCAGCTAAAGCATACCTCTCAAATTGCTTAATCCATGTACCCCAACGCTGTGCGACACTTGCAGGATTTGTATGGGGGTCAAAACGATCAGGCTTATTGAGATCCATTATCCAATTATCCTCGTCGCCAGTTTAGTAAATTAAAACATAATTAACACAACTGAATTTATTGAACTCACAAATCAGACTAAACTAAAAAGTAAACAAAACATAATAATGTAAACAGTCATCTGACAGATGTTATAAATAAAACATATGGACTTATTTCTTGATACATAACAGGAAGACTGGACAAATCTTTTTACAATTACTTTATCTGCAAGTACTTGTTTCCAGAATTTCTTTAATCGATTCCTGCATCTATTTGATTATTGCTTTCCTGTTAAATCTGCCGTTGAAAAAAACATGAAGAAACATAAAAAAAGACATATAAATCCTATATATAGTTGGTACACACCTCAGCTTAAACAGATGAAACAGTTTATTCTTATCTGTAAAGACATGTATACAACAAATAAAACTGAAGATCTGCTATTGACATTGAGGAAGTTGAGAGCCAATTACAGGCATGCCTTGAGAGAAGCTAAGAGACAAAACAACGACCAAATAATTATGAACTCTTCTAATAAATGTAAATCAGCATGGGCCATCATCAACAAGGCAGCAGGAAGAGGATCTAGAGCTGTGACCAATCCAAACATACAACCGGATGACTTCAATAAGTTCTTCATTTCTTCCGTAAAAGAAATCTGTGAAGGTGTTGACTCGTCTTCTAGAGTAGCATTGGAATATGTGAAAAATGTCAACGTGTCTCAACCAGTTTCCTGTGTTTTTTCTTCTGTGATGCCTCATCAAGTGTTACATATTATTCAGTCAATTAAAACCTCTCCCTCAAAAGATGTTTATGGTATGTCCAGTGAGATATTAAAAGAAGTTGCATTAGAGATACTGGAGCCGCTAACATTTTGTCTCAATAAGTGTATTTTGGATGGAGTTTTTCCTGAATGTTTGAAATTCTCCAGAGTGGTACCCATCTATAAAAAGGGTAACCCTGATTTGCCTCAGAGTTACAGACCCATATCATGCATTCCTATATTTGCAAAGATCTATGAAAAAATAGTAAAAGACCAAATTTGTAACTTTTTTGAATCCTCAAATTTGTTTAGTGATTCTCAATATGGCTACCGCTCTGGCAGATCCACCATTCAAGCTATAGATGTCTTGGTTAATGAGTTACTTAGAGCCTTAGAAGAATGCCGTTCTGCTCAGATTACACTGTGTGATTTAACGAAGGCATTTGACACGGTAAATCATGACATATTACTTGCTAAGTTAAAATACTATGGTTTTGATGGTAAAGAGTTGAAATTGTTGGAGTCATATTTGAGACATAGAAAGCAGATCGTAGATGTAGGAGGTGTTTGTTCCCAGATCTTAGATGTTTTATCACGTGTACCACAGGGATCTGTATTGGGGCCAATACTTTTTATAATTTTGATAAATGATTTTAGTTTTAACAATTTTAGTTTTACTACAATATATGCAGACGATACTTCCCTTCTGAATGTAAGTAATTGTATAGAGCACCTGGAATATTTGTCAGAAGAAGCCCTTCTGGATGCAAAGAGTTGGTTTGAAGCTAATAGTTTGTTTTTAAATGAAGGAAAAACACAAAATTTGATAGTTTCTTTAAAAAAAGGTAATTTATATGATGTAAATAAGACTGTAACATTGTTAGGTATAAGTATTGATGCTAGTCTTTCATGGAAAAATCAGATTGATATTGTTTGTAAAAGGTTATGTAGAATAATATATTTACTGATTAATTTAAAAAGACAAGTAACTAAGGTGTGTTTAAGGATGTCTTATTTTTCCTTTTTTGAAAGTATTTTAAGATATGGCCTGACAGTTTGGGGAAATGGTATAGGCATGAAGAGAATTTTAATCTTACAAAAAAAAGCAATTAGAATAATAATGAATGCTAAACCGTCAGAACATTGTCGACCATTATTTGTAGAAGCTAATGTTTTAACCTTTGTTAATCTTTATATATATGATGTTCTGATGTTGGTAAAGAAAAACTATCCATCGTTGCCTAAAAGAGCCATATTCCATGACTATGAAACAAGAGATAGACATCTCCTACAGTTACCAAAATGTAGATTAACCAAAACAAAGAGTTACCATAGTTATTTAGGTCTTAAGTTCTTTAACAAGTTACCAAAAGCCTGGCTGAATTTATCAGAAAGAAAATTTGCAAAAGTATTGTATTCCTGGCTAGTAAAAAATCCTTTTTATGACATAGATGAATTTATGAAATATGAGTTTTTGTTGCATAGTTAAGATGACCTTATTGTAGACAGATTAGATATTGTAATTTTGTGACATTTATTTATGTATTATATGTATCTTTTGACAGAACAAATATTTGTTGCCTTGATATTTTGTTATTGCTTGTTAAGTTTGACGATGTCTATTACAATATGTGTATATTGTTGAAGGAATAAAGAATTTGTCTATTGTCTATTGTCATAGGAATGGTGCACAGAGTAGGGAATGTTTAAGGACAGGGTGGAAAATTATATTGTTTGGGGGAGATTTTAACCAGATACTGCCTGTTGTTCCAAGCAAAAAAAAGGTTCAAATAATAATATGGAGGTAGTTTCCAATTCTGAAACTTACTAAAATATGTATGTCAATATGATATTCAATAGCATTAAAAGGTTATAAGGTTTATCAACAGGGTGCAGCACTATTAATTCTTTTTGCATTTATGACAACAACAGCTAATTTGAACAAAACTTCAACAACAACAAAAAGCGATGAGAACTTTACTTTTTTCTATTGTTTAGAATCAAATTCTTTAGTTGAACCAGCTGTTAAGATTCTTACATTCCATTTAAATATGAATACTCATAAGGTTAACATGGGAAACTCCAGAGCCACTGGGGCGGAGCCCTTTTGACGGTTCTGCACAAACTTCACACAAAACATCCTTGAATAATGCTTAATAATACCTGAAAGTTTCATTACAATCTGTCTGTGAGTGGTTTCGGAGTCCATAAAGGACAAACAAACAAACAAACAAACATACATACATACAAACAAACATACATTGGATTTTATATATATAGATTTAAGAACACTACTTTAAAAATCTCTAGATATTGATAAAACCTATAAGGACTAAATTTTAACAACAATTCAGTATTTTCTGCACAGAATTCCTTTCGAGAGAGATAATTTCAAACAAATGTAAAATGAAGAACGTAAAACTAAAAAATGTTACCTATATTATAAATTCTTATTGTTGTAAGTTAATCTGTTGAATAGTTTTTGGGATGACTTCCTCCAACCAACCACTTATTTGGGAAAAGAACAAATTCAAATTTGTAACGGTTGGTGTTTATAACCGTTATAAAGAAACAGGTATTAGCAACACGGTCAATAATAGGTTGCGGAGACAAAGAAGCTGGAGACCGCTTAACCCGGAAGTAGTTCCAAAAACCACCCCTTTGAGCTCGCTACTTCAGAGCCACTGGCAGAGTCTAATCAATCTGACCTAATAAAAGCTGATTAAAAGTTGTAGTTCATCCTCTCTTGTATTAGCATCTCTTTTTTACCAAGCAAGATATCGTATCACTTATATAATAAATTCGTAAACTTATATTTCCAGATATGTTTCAGTGATTGTGAATAGGTCATTGTGTAAAGAACGGCGAATGAGCCTGGTATTAACAGTTGGTATTTAATGTTTATGATATTGTAAATTGACAAAGGACTGGCGAATAAGCCTCACAGTTGCATTTAAGGATTGGTATTGTTTTATTGTAGTCTATAAATACCGCCAAATCAGCCTGGTATTTAAAGATTGATTTTAAATTTTCCATTTTATTTAATTTTAGGAATACTGGTGAATGAACCTGGCATTTAAAGTTTAGTTACAATTGTTTTAAAGGAAATACTAAAGCGATGATGTGTATGGGCATCGTTGACCTCTTGTGGTGAGGTGCAACTCTGAGCTTTATTAATAGAATTGCAGTGCGGAGCGTCGAACTTCCCATTTGAACTTGAGCAAATCGGGGTATTCATTCATAAGGTTGTATGGAAGAGTGAGGTAGGGGATTGCTTAAAGTGTGCAAAAGCCGCAACCCACTGCACCATACACTTTACAAATTCTGCCATTTAAAGTTATAGCCTACCTATAAGTATGTTGCAGCTTTTTACAAAAGGTCAAACCTTATATAGTGTCTTGTAGTTAAAAATTGTTTTTCAAATGATTTTTAACTATTCATTTTCTTGTTGTCTTTGTTATATTTAGTGAAGATTCCATGTTCACAGAGGTCTATTGTAACATCTGTTATTTAATTACCAATAAAGATTTATGAAGAGTGTAATAGCTATTTACCTTACAAGTGTAGTAAGAGCGTTTTTACATCACGCAGGTGACTGTTGTGCAACGAGCGGAAGCGAGTTGCATAATTCACCTAAGAGATGTAAACACGCTCTTGCGTAACGTGTAACGTACAAGATTTTACCTGACCCGACAATGTACATGGGGTTACGTACAATATTTTTCATTATCCATTTCACTCATCGTCTAACAGTAACGTTCTTTTACAAACAAAAGCTAGGTTAGGAAAATACTTTAAAGCATAAAAATAACATTCAAGCGCACAGCTGATTTCTAGTGTTGAACATCGATGCCTCCATAGAGGTATATTTTTTAAGTTAAGCACTCAATGTTATTTAAATGGGTTTCATTACATCACCGAGTGAGTTTTTTTCAGCTTTACATCACTCGAGAAGTAAGGAAGTTGTATACATCACGCTTGGGATAGGGAAGTTTAACATGGTGGGTTAGGTAAAGATTTATACTATTGTTGATAATGATAACCAATTTCTGAATGTTTTTTTTCAGTTTACTTACCTGACTGTTGGCCTAAGCATCGTGAGGTTGATGAAACTATGAACAAAATAAAAAGATACTTCACTCTGGTATAACTGAAACATAAAAAGACAGTTTTATGAGTTTTACTTGAATAAAGGAATAGTTCTAACAAATTATGGAAAATATAAGTTTTTTGCTTTGTTGTCTTTACAAACTTGTTGCTTATATCCCAAGATTATCCACCATTTAATAGATCTATAAAAGCATGAAATTGCTTAGAAAGCTAATATTGACCATATTTTTTCTTGAACATTTTCTATTTGTAAATTGTTCTTGAGAAAATGATATCAGTAGTTACTCTATTACTTCATGTTGTTTATGTAAACAAAAGGAAATATAGGCAAATAAGCCTATTACGTAACTTAATTATTGCGTGGAAATTTTAGTTTAAAATGTCTTCCAATTTGTCTGTGTTTTTATACCCTAAAAAATGTTTTATATGAAAGCCCCCTTAAAGCTTTTATAAGTAAAGTAAGTCTATGGTAATTAACCTTATTATGCTTATTCCTTTGATGGTTTTAGAGATTTAACATTTGGATTTAATTATAATAGCTTTTACCCACATAACAGGCTTCACCCCATTTGACTTCGTAGCTGTATGTGCTATTAATTAACAGCAGTGTCTAAGGAATATGTCGGCCTTAGTCACTAACAAGACTACTAGATCACGCCACTCATCCTACACTCATCTCCATTCATACTTGGCTTAAAATACCTACTTTGTATGGTCGCCAATTCATTGAAAAGTATTAAAAGTATAAGATTTGTATAAGTATTAATGAAACTATTGATTGGTTAACTTAAGGTGAAATAACAAAACAGATAGTAATACCAAGGCCACACTAAAAAAACAGGCCGTAATGCTCGCCAAGCATGACGTCACGATAGAAGACGGTTATGACGTATAAGTACTTATTTATTTATTTTCCAATGAAAGATTAAAACAAGCAGCTGATCACAAACGGCAAAATTACATCATTACCGTCTTCTATCGTGACGTCATGCTGGACGAGCATTACGGCCTGTTTTTTAGTGTGGCCTTGGTAATACAAACAAAAAATCACACCTGATTTTAATAAGCTAATAAATTGAAAGAATAACAAACAAATAAGTACAGCTGAGGTAGGTATTTTTAACAGGTATATGGAAAGTTCCCTTTAGAAAGGAATCACGACCTTAAAGGGCAATTTATGAAATAATGGATAGTTTTGTGCAAGGTTTCTCGTCATGCTGAGCATTTTAACTATATGGGGGTGTGACTTTTAGTTTTCTCAAAAGTTCATGGGTAATTTGGGATTTATATTATGGATTTTATTTAAGACTGACAAAGTAAGATTCGTGTCATTATTGTGAAAAATAAAGTAATGTTGAAATATTAAAATGTTTTTAATCATATTTTTGGTCAGAAGTCTGTACTGAGCTGCCAACACCTGGTAAAAAGAGCTTATAGGCTAGTTTTTTTTCTTCATGCAAGTAAATAGACCTTATTAAGTTAAATTATGGTAAAAATGGAACATAATATTATATAAGTTATATTATTTTTAATTTACACTGAGTAGTAGTTCCCTTCCTTCAAAGTAAAAAGCACTCCAAAGGATTCTTTCCCTCTCTGCTGTGTAGAAAAAATAATCCAAATGTTCATAAAAACTTATTTGATTCAAAATAATTTGAACATTTGAAGATTTTTACTATCATTGACTGGACATTCATATACAAGCTTATAATTTATTGTATTTGGTTTAGTTTTGTATCTAATAATATACTACTCACTTGATTTTAAACCCCATGTTTCTAGGGTAGGCACAGTTGAATAGAGGTGCGTTCCTTATCAGAACTCACAATAAACACAATAGATACCAGTAATGTAAAAAATACCTTGTTGTGTTTAATCAGTATTTATGAAGGACAAAGAATTGTACAATCTTAATGTTTGCAAAATATAATATTTATTACTCTTTTAACTTAATTATCTCATTGAATACTCTCACAGTACTGTCATTTCTTCTAGTTTATCTTTGTTGTGCAAATATAACTTTTATTCGTTACTTCTAATTAGGAGAACTGACAGTTAACAGTTTTATGATACCTGCCCCACTGATCACGTTTTATGGATCTTAACACAGTTCTACTAATAATTAATAAATAGGAATAGGTATCTAAATAAAATATTTCACTGTGTAGTTTTATGTGGCTTACAAATAAAAACTAATCAACTGGACGTCCAGCTAATGAGTTGGCTGGCACAATAACAGATGCACATTTAACTGTGATTAAACCCAACTAGTTGCTCTGCCCGTGCTTCGCTACGGGGTGAGAATGCAAAAAAGAATAATACCGTTTTACTTTAAGATACTATAATCTACTATGAGAAACAGTTACAACACACTTACCAGGAAACATATTATAGGCAAAGGCTCAATCGTGTTTATTGATAACCGGTTTTTAAATGAAGATCTCTTAATGTATTACAGTAATATCATTTTATAAAGTGTATAGCATTTAAAATATATTCAAAAGTATAATTCATTGACCACATGGCACCATGAAACAATTCTCCTTGTAAACAAATTAAATTAAATAGCAGAACAGCATTTCCGACAACAGCTGTAGTTTCATAACAATGTTTGTTTCCCATGTTAATCTTATGGAGAAATACGAAACTTCAAAGGGCTCCAGGGCCTCACTCTCTAATTATTTTCCTAAAAAGAAAGTTTCCTGCACAACTTCACGTTACGCTCTTTCCAATGACACCAAAAACATGTCAATCGGTTCAGCAGTTTCGGAGGAGTAATTGTCACAAAAAACCTGCTTGCGTATTAAATAAGTATAGATTCCATCCAATGGGCAAAATAAAATTATCCACAACAAAAAACTGATTTTACTACAGCTCTGAAATTCTCAAAATCTCAATGGAATGGTCCACAAAAAAATACATAACCAAAATGACAATAATTATAAATGTCCACATTTAAACATGTTTATGTTCTGTGTCAAAGGGTTAGCAATCATAAAAGGTTGAAAAGGTTGATTCTGAAATTGTCAATCAAGTTGTAATTTGATATGTTATTTGTTACACTCAAACATCAACTTTATCAAACCTTACTATCTATACAAAATGTCGTCCCATTAATTCTTAGCACTCTTTATGAATTCATTGAAGTGATCGGACACAAATAGTTGAAATTCAATATGACAAGAATTAATGGAAGTTCATAGATCCAACAACTACCAGTCAGCAGGGATGTGCCTCGGGGCTCTGTCCTGGAGCCATTTTTAATCATCCTATTCACAAATAAATGATTTCTCCGGATTCATTGGAAACAGCAAAATAAAAATTGATCACATATGCAGATGATATAACAAATTATCTCGGCCCTTTTACTATCGAACAAGTCCCCACAAACATTTCATGCAGATATACTATCTTCTACTGAAAAGGCAACAACATGATTTGGCTATAAATAAAGTTGGCTAAAACAACCAAGATTAATATTAGCAGAAAACAGGAAAAATTCCTGAAACTCTAGATATTTTAGTTAAAACAAATACAAAACTGCTTGGTTCGAGGATTGATGCTGATTGCTGACCTATCATGGAGCAATCATATTCATGAACTAAGCTCTCATTCAGAAGACAAGACACACAGTAAAGAGGATGATGTGGATAGAAGGAATAGAATCAGCTAAAACAGCATACGGTGAAATCACACATAAAATTATTGGCTGTTTGTTGGGCAGGCACCTCTGATAACAAAATCTTAATAAAATGCTGGTGGCTCAGAAGAAGGCTGTCAGGATACTTTCTGACCTTGGCCCAGTAGAAGCCTTCAAATCATTCAAGATTTTAACAGTTGCAACACTCATGAACTCAGGAACTAGCAATGTACACAAGCAATCTAAATATTCCCGGGAATCAGGATTTCCAGAACCACCATAATAGAGGATCTAGAGACTACCACCAGGACAGGGGAGGAGCCTTCCCATCCACCACACCACACAATGTAGTAAGAAACCATAATTCATTATATTGGTGGCAAAACTGTCAATCCCTCCCACTGCACATGTAAAATCATATCAGGAAAAAACTTTAAAGGAACTTTGGAACTGGCTAATAAATCAACCAGTGTACTCAATCAAGAAATTCTTCGACCTAAGAAGATAATGGAAAACCAAAGAAGCTACTTATATAATTATTGTAAAGCAAGAGCCGGTTTCAACTATTTTAGTATTTCAACGCGTATGTATTTCTTAGATAAATTACTAGTAAAGATGTTTGTCTATTGAATTAAATTGTATGTTTGAGAAAACCAAAAAACATTTTCTAAGCTCATTACAAAATACCAGTTTTTTTTTTCATTATTTGATAAAACCTGGATCCTTACCTACTTTAATGGATACATCAAAGTCAAAGACAAAAAATCTTTATTTGTAGTTTACACATGCATAAAATGAATAGTGAGCTAGCATAACTATCTCGTTAATCTAACCTAACATTAATTATTTTATAAAAAAAAATAAATAAATAAACTGACACATACTTTCTCCCATAAGCTTGACAAAAACTTTTATAATAGGTTAGCGGTGGGGGTACAACTATGATATTTTATAGGTAAAATCACAGAAATTGTAATTACTTTAGCACAGTAATTTTTACAACATATAGGGGGTTGTATCAGAAGTTTTAAATATAATCTTTGAGCTGTTTTTGTGAGAAAATTTTTGTTATTTTTTGGGAAAATCTATATAATATTAAAACGAAACAGTGTTTTTTTATTTCACGATTCTGAATCAACCACTCGACGGATTTTCATGATTTTTGTGTTGAAAGAAAGATAATTTTAAAAACTAGGGAATGTCAAAGCCATAATTTTAGTTTAGGGTCCCAGTTTTTTAGAAATTAAGTTTCAATTCTTAAAAAGTCTAGCAGCCGACGCTAAGATTCTAAACTAGCTTTTGGCATACAATAATTTGCTTAACATAACAGCTGTAAACATTCAGCTTTTGTGCCACAAATTCAGCATTTGGATAAAAATGTAAAAAACATACTTAGGGTT